CTTTAGGAGTGTTTTCCAGTCCAGTCTGTTGGGGCACCACACCCTGCAAAGGCAAGTTTTATGTCCACAGGATCTGCTTTCTTGAAAAGTGACAGTAGAGTAATATAAAGGTGGCAGAGTAATATAAAGTGACAATATAAAGGTAATATAAAGTAATATAAAGGTGCCAGACTAGAGGATTTTGGTTTTGAGGTCCCAGCTATGTGACTGACTATATCATGAATAAATCCATTCATTTCTCTAATCTTAGTTTTCCCACCTGTACAAACTCGATAGCTACATCTACCTCTTTCCTGCTACTTAACCTATCTAGTCTTCAAATTTTTCATCCATAAAATGAGAATAACAAGATATGTACTATGTAAGAATCTTGGGAGGTAACTCTCATATTTGAATCAATTATATTTGCCATTGTCCATAAGTCAGTGTAGATCAATATCTGTTGAACTAATTCCTATAGATTGTCTTCCCAGGACAGAGTGCAAGGCAGAGAAGAAATATCAAGAGGTTGCTGTGTCCTCTTGGAGATGGAGTGTCACATCCAATCCCTATGATTCATCCTTCCCCAGGAGAGTAGGGTAGGAAGGAGAAAAGAGTTGGTTTGCCCGGGTGAAAGGAAGAATGGAACGGATTACCAGGTGGGGTAATCGATGCATCTCAGTGTCTTTCCTTTTACAAAAGTTGATCTTCCAAGCCTCTATGCGAGTGCTAGGTGTTTGATCTTCTCTGACAAAGACATTGCCATTGTGTCTGAGTCACAGACCCGCTTGTGGTCCAGTAGCAATCCCTCTCTCATCTATGTAGAGGAGACTCTTCTCGTCCCCACTGCTTGTCAGTGCTCACCGTAGATTGATTTACTTTCTCTCTCTCTTCCCTTGTATCCAGGATACCACTCATTTTCCAATGTCCACGTTTTATTTCTGGATCTAAAATGTAGACTAATTACTGAGCCTGAACAATCTTCATTAGGTTGCAGATTATTCAATTCCAGGAGTTCTGCTGCTTCGGCACCAGCCACTGGCCCAAGACTCTCCTTGTGGAGAGTGTGCGTTAGCACTTGAGGGCTTTGCTGACTTTGAGGAAGTGGGTCTTGTTTGAGTACTTAGTAGTTCAGCCCCCTGGTGTTCTCGAGACTCGTGTTTAGCTGCATTTATCTAGGCCACAGCATGCAAAGCCAAATGTGGGTTCCATCAGTGAGAGAAGGGGGTCAGAATAAGGTGAGACTGTGGCAAAAAACCATCGCATAACAAGTACTCCATAGGATGTCTGATAAGATATTTCAACTTAACATGATGAAATCTGAACTTTTCTTCCCCCCTCTCCAAATGTGCTTTACCCTCCCGTCCCCAGGGACAAAGTCCATCTTTCTGAATGCGCAGGTCAATAACTGGAGTCCTGATCAACTCCTGTTTTTCTCTCATGCCCTGGTCCTATCTGGCAGGAAATCTTGTTGATGCTGACATTAAGCGGCATAGGCAATCCTGCCTGACGCTGAACATATTATCTCAACCCGAGGTTATGACTGTCCTTTTAACTTTGTATGTTTTTTCATTGGTAGTAGGAAGCCTGGTTGTGTAGTGGTTATGAGTTGGGTTTCTCAGCACAAGGTCAGCAGTTAGAAGCTACCAGCCGCACCTCAGGAGAACGATGAGGCTTTCTTCTCCTTTAAAGAGTTACAGTCTTGGAATTCCATAGGAGGAGTTCGACTCTGCTCTATGGGATCTCTGTGAGTCAGAATTGACTGGATGGCAAGGAGTTTGTTTGTTTGTTGCATTAGTAAGGAGTACTGGTGGTGTAGTGAGTTAAGCATCGGGCTCCTAACTGCACACTTAGGAGTCTAAAGCCACCAACCAGTCCACAGAAGAGATGAGGTGGTGGTGTGTTCGGTGACGATGCAAGGCAGAAATGAAGACATGGACAAGGGAGATGTGGTTTAACATCAGCTGACACCTCTGTGCTGGGTGTAGCACCGATGGCTGCCCTGCACGGTCTTTTACTCTCTCTGCTAGCTAGGGCATGGGTTAGTAAGCACGGATGCACTTCCTCAAAGTAAGCAAGGAACGAGGGAGCAGACTAAGCACTAGGATCTCGTAACAAAATGCCTTATCAGGAAACTCAAGGATTTGTCCTTGGGAAGGAGCACAGCGCCCTCAGACAGGCCCTGCTCCCAGAACTATCTCCAAGCCATTTGCTGCCCAGATGCCCAGATCTTCCCCCGTGTGCAAGAGATAGCTGGTGTCCATGGAAACAGTCCACTGTCTTCGGCCTCTGTGAACTCCTTCGGGGCCGACAAGGTGGTCCCCTCCTTTAGAGATTTACAGTCTCAGAAGCCTAAAAGGATAATCCCACTCCATTTCTGAGTCGGCATTGACTTGATGGCAGTGTGTTTCATTTTGGTTTTTATCCTTAGTCATATGTTTCTCCAAGTAACAGACACTATGGCTGCAACAGTGGGTCCCAACATAATGACTGTGAGGACGCTGCAGGACTGGGCAGGGCTTCATTCTGTGGCACAGAAGGTCGCTAGGGGTCAAAACCAACTCAAGGGCATCCAACAGCAACAACATCATTC